AGGGAAGGCCCCTGCCTCTCTTCTATCTTGCATCATCACCTGCTATGGCAGACTAATATACCTAAAACTAAGAGGAGAAGGACCACTCCGAAACACCTGCTGGAAGAGAAGGTGAGCCCTGTGAGAAGGTGGAAGGAATAGCTATCCCCTGGCAGGAGGTGGCATCTTTGTAGAGAGGACTATTATTTAAGAATAATTCTAGGGAAGGCCCCTGCCTCTCTTCTATCTTGCATCATCACCTGCTATGGCAGACTAATATACCTAAAACTAAGAGGAGAAGGACCACTCCGAAACACCTGCTGGAAGAGAAGGTGAGCCCTGTGAGAAGGTGGAAGGAATAGCTATCCCCTGGCAGGAGGTGGCATCTTTGTAGAGAGGACTATTATTTAAGAATAATTCTTGGGTTTTGAGATGTTCAAGCGCTTGGAGAGAGCTCTCCCAGCATTCTACGTAAATCACCTCCCTGAGGGGAGTAGTGGTTGCCTGGTTCACACTGGAGCTTTACAGCTCTGTAACTTGCTGCATTCAGGGGGATGAGGGTTTTTTTTCACACCCCTGAGTCAGAAAGTTGCAGCACTATAAAGTGCCAGTGAGGATTTAGTCAAAAAATATTAAGCTTACAGTATGTAGCACACTTCTGAATTACTGGATTATTCTGTTTTGGAGTTCTTTGAAGAAAAATTGGTGGTGATGATAAAGGGAATAGGATGTCCATTGTTATGGAAATGAGACAGTTCTAGTAGCCTAAATCAAATGAAAACAATTCTCCACTATTCCAATTACATTATTCATGTATAGTAAGCTCAATTCTGGTTAAAAGTAAAGACAGACATTTCTTTTGACAAATACTTTTTAAAATAAAAAATTTGTAGTTTGCTAAAGGGAAAAATCTTCACAAACACAATTTTTAAAAGTTTATTTTCCTTACATGTATCAAATACTATATATTGAGTGTTTCTGAGAATATTTAATGGCAAATAATATTTTAACAGGCGATGCTACAGAGGAAGAAATTAAATCTTCATTTCTAGAAACTCTAGAGCATGTCTGCAGCAATCCCAGTGAAGTATCATATTGTGAGTTTGAAGATTACTATGAAGGATTAAGTATTGAAATCATGGATGATGAAGATTTTGTTAATATTTTAAAGAATGCTTGGGGAATTTAGAACTGCAGAATATATAGAATGTAAAAAAAAGACTTTAAATGATGATTAAAATATGAACAATAAATCCTCACAAGTTACTTTTTGAATGAATGTTTCAAATTTGTTTTACTAGTCTGAAAATATTTGAGTCAATTTTCAGAAGGGTATATAAGTTATATGTAAAGCTCCCTTTGAATGTTTCTTTTTATGTACATTTTGTGTTTTATTAAACAAAATTTATAATAACTTTATGCACTTCCCTCTGGAAGTAGGATCACTTGTCTCATTAAAATAGTGTAGCTTATTTTGAAAACAGCAGCCTAGAATACAAATATAGGTGAAAGGATACATACAGGAGAAAACTTACTATGCATTATAATTACCAGTTGTATTTTTCAGAAGCTTTAGATTTGACTGTATATATTATATATGAGCATTATGGGTTTTTTTCTCTAAAATGTGTTACTCACCAAAGAGGACATTTATTTTATGAAATGCATAGGGCCAGATTCTGCTTGGCTCTTATGTTCATCAGAGGACGTAATTTATTCCTCTCATTTTCCCCCCAAGTTTCGGTAGGGGAGAGAGATCTACAATACTAAAAATGTGCATAGAAAATTAAGAACAGTGCATGCCTCCTTAATGTTCTAATTTGCAGAACAAAATACAGTCTGTTCTGAATATATTTACTGATCTTCACTAGACTGAACCACAGGTTCTCCAAAAGATTTTAATTAAATGCTTTTGACTAGAGTTTGGATTTACTTTGCATACTTGCGCTTAGGTTGCATAAATGTGTTCCAGGGCCTGTAATGTACTTTCACTCTTATAATCTTTTGCTGAATTGTTTTTTCAAACAAATAATAGATTTATGATTTGTAGATGAGTGGCTTACATACATCCTGCTGCTTTGATCATTAATTTTGGTTAAACTCCTTAGTCCAAACTGATAGGTGTAAAAGAAAAATCTTTCTAATGCAGCAATCACACTACAAAAAATAAAGTTCTAATCCATACTCTGTTCTAATGTTTCTTACTACAGTAAATATTTATTTAGCTGTACCTTTTAATAAAGTATATTTTGTGAATCCTGGAAAATTAATTGTATAGAAAATGCCTTATTGATGTTTTTCAAATTATCTTTCACCAAGACTATTGCGAAATATATCTTTAACACTAGGATCAATTAAGAAATAGAAAATGCCTTATTGATGTTTTTCGAATTATCTTTCACCAAGACTATTGTGAAATATATCTTTAACACTAGGATCAATTTAGAATCTGACACATACATCTTCAGTCCTGAGGTGTTAAAATGTGGTTTGTTTGACTACATTTTGGTTTTGGATCTGTCTTCTGGTCTATGGTAACACAAGTTTCCTCTGGAAAAATTTAAATAACGAATAGTCCTGTAGCATTTTAGAGACTAACATAAATGTGGATGGTGGTATGAGCTTTCATGGGCACAACCCACTTCTTCATGATGCCATCTACATTTTGTGTTAGTCTCTAAGGTGCTGCTAGATTATTTGTTGTTTTCTAAGTTTTTCCAGTTACAAACTAACATGGCTACCCCTCTGAAACAAGTTTCCTTTGTCAGACAAAACTTTGCCATTTTAATGATACAATGCTTTGGTGGAAACAAAACATGTAATGTAATTGGATTACCCTCTCAAGTAAATAATATAGGAAGAAGTCAGGATACACCTAGGAAAAACATTGGGACATTTGAGAAGAGGCTTAAAAAAAGCTAAAGGGAAAAAAGATTCATAAGTTGGAGTTCTCACTTTATTGGAGGATATAGGCTACCAGGTTTATTGTATAAAACTGAACTTATGGAAAACACAACATCGGCATGAAGCAGTGGACACTTGAGTCTTTCAGCCTCAGAGCCTAATTAATTGATTGGAGATGTAACTCTCTACTGTCTTAGGGCCACATTTTAAAAGTATTTATAAGCCTAAAAATTCTAATAGGTTGCTAATGAGATTTTTGAAAATGCCTGGATATCTTACTCTCAAGCACCATAGCACTTTTGAAAGTGCCACAATGTGCCTTTTAAAGTAATACAATTGTCTCTTTTTCTGTAACTGGTTTTCTTTGAGATGTGTTGCTCACCACATACACAGGTGCCGAAGTTTTTCCCTCAGCAATATCCATTGGGGACTGGCTCCAATGCACTCTGGAGTGGTGCCCATATGCAACGATATAAGGTGCGCTGCTGACTCCTTTCCACCCCCCTCAGTTTTTCCCAGAAACTCCAACAATGGGGAAGAAAGATGAATTATGGAATGGACATGAGCAACACACCTTGAAGAACAACAGTTACAGAAAAAAGGTAACCGTCTTTTCTTCGAGTGCTTGTTCTTTTCCATTCCATTGTAGGTGACTCCCAGTGTCACCAGAGGTACTTGGGAATTCATGGAGAAGTCGATTACAACAAAGCACTGTAAAATTCAGTATCACCTCTTGCCTGCTGGGTGATGGCATAGTAAGTCATGAACATGTGTATCGAAGATCACATCACAGGAGAACTGGAGTGTCTGAATGGAATTGCTTGTACGACTTCTTGCTAGCCAACATGATAAACAGATGACTAGTTCTGATGTGCATTAGAATTGAGGACCCCCAGGCTTGGGCCCTGCTTCTAAGCAATTTGCCTTGAATTGACCCTTTTAGTAATGTCCTCAGAAACCACCTGTATTATAATATCTAATAGATCTGCATTTGGCATTATTCTTGGCATTGCCTAAGCTTTCATAAATAGCCTGTTCCTGCAGGACTAGTATTCCCATTGAGTAAAGCCATTTAGCTGTATCTGTAAGTCAAGTTTTTTGCTGCAACACAGAGATCACCAAAATAAATAATCTTCAAAGCTGCTCTATCTTATGAGTGCCAAAGGCCCTTAAAGCTGTTTTTAGCTGAGGATCTCCAAAGTGCAGTATGCTATAGACACACCCTCTTCCTCTCCTTCTACCACACTTCCCATGTGGAGAATGGTGTAGAGATAAGTGAATGAATCTTTGTGACTCAAATCACTAGTTCACTTGGTGTGACTCTGGCCACTTAATTGAATAAATGTGCATTGATGAATATTAATAGAGCCTTGTTAGTCTGATCTTGCTGAAACAAAAGGACTAACAAGATGGTTAGTCTTTAAAGCTCATCACCTAATAAACCATCTTGTTAGTCTTTAAAGTGCTACATAGTCCTGTCTTTTGTTTCATTGATGAATATTTTATCCCCCAGTATAAAGTCTGCAGTGGTAACTGGAATCTTGTGTGACATTTAATAAAAACCACACAATCTCCTCTCCTCCATCTCTGTCATTAAATGGAATGGTGACATTCTGAATTGGAAATGACAAACCTTAGGCAGCACCAGTGGGATAGCTTTATCTGTCAGATGCACAGATATAATATTGCCCTTGTAAAAATTGATGCTAAGGATTCCATGTCAAAACTTGAGCACTTCTTGAATTCTTTTGGTAGTTCAGATTGAGGGCTATATTTTTATTCTTTTGTGACAAGAAAAAAAGTCAAAATACACACGTGAAAATTATGCACATCCCACCCTCCCCTGGTATTCTAGTGTCAAAGAGGAGCACAGGGCTGATTACCATCAGTACGTCTACACAGCAACGTTATTTTGAAATAACTAGCGTTATTTGGAAAAGCTTAGTCCAGGTCTACACAGCAGGCAGCTATTTTGAAATAATGTCAAAATACTGTCAAGCTGGGGGACTTCTTACTCCGACTCCTGTAACCTTCATTGTATGAGGAGTAAGGGAAGTTGGAGGAAGAGTGCTCTATTTCAAAGTAAGTACTGTGAGGACTGTCCCAATTTCAAAATAACTTATTTTGAAATAAGCTGCGCAATTGATGTAGCTCAATTTGTGTCGCTTATTTCAAGTTAAGCCCTGCTATGTAGATGCACCCCATGACATGCTTTAAGTTCCTGGACAGAGGTGGTCAACTTAAGGAGTCGGGTTGTATAAGAAGAGAGAATAAGGATACAGCTAGACTGTGAGGCTCTATCAGAAAAAGATATGCAAAATGCACTCTGCATTTTACGTATCTTTTTCTGATACTTTTGTCGGAAGAGACTTTTCTGAAATTTGGCCCATCTGGACTGAGCCAAATTTCAGAAAAAAAACCCTCTTTCGAAAGCCCCCTTTTTCCTCGTAGAACGAGGAATTAAGGGACTTCCAAAAGAGCGCGTTTGCTCTTCTGCAAAAAAAAAAAAAAAAAAAAAAAAAAAGGCAAAAAAAAAAAAAAACCCAACTCTGTGGTGGTGTCCCAAAAAATGCCTGCAATCTATCTGTACCCCAAGAGTCCAAATCCTCTCCCAAGTGTATCCCTTCTTGACAAACTCAGTATCCAGTGATATTTTTATGAAAGGGCAAAAACCCTGTAGTGTAAATATAGCCCCAGAGATCACCTTTTTGGTTACAATATGTGCATCCGGCGTAGGCTGCAACAAATACTTTTAACAAAAGAAAAGAACCTCTGACATCCACTCCGTTGGCACAATATTTGGTAAACTATCCAACCACAGTATCAACAGACACATCTGCCTATGGGGTAGGAACAGTTCACACACAAGACCAGACAGATGGAAACTAGAGACCTATTGAATTCACATCACACAGCGTCAACAAATCCAAGCAGCAGTTTGCTCAAGTAGAACAGGAAATTCTAGCAGTCATTTGGCCTGAGAATGGCTCATCTGTGTATATCTGTTTGGCTTGAATTTTAACATAGACCACAAACCCTTAATGGCATTACTGAGTTCAAAAGCATTGAAATCTTCCCCATAGGATACAAAGATTTTGTCTGTGGCTGATGCAATTTGCTTTCGATTTTGAACACATACCAGAGAAAGCCCCCATAGTCACAGACATTCTTTCTAGAGTTCCAGTTGAACAGCCACCAACAGAAGAAGAAAAGGCTTTAGCGACAGAGTCAAAGTCTGCTTTGACGATGTTCTGGCAGCAATTTGTTTCTACTGGCAGGCTCCGAACATTAGAGATGAACACTTTTGATAGGAGCTTCTGCACCTGGTGGAGACATACCTCTTAAAGCCTTTCTAAACATGACATTTCTCTGACTTTACCAACTCTGTGGTGCTCCAGCTGTCTCCATCTAGGCACAGGAGACATATTAGGATTGGCAGATAGTTGCTTCCAGTGTAACACCAGTTTCACTTTGCAGGGACTTTCTCCTCTACCCTTTCTCTCTAGTTTTGTTTGATGATGTTTCTCACTTCTGTAGATGGGCTTTGTGTTGGATTGAAACTTCTTAATTCAAAACTATAAACCCAGGAATTTTTCATTCTCCCCTGAAATAGTCTGATTTCAGTCCCCATGCCTTTTTGCTGCATTCTCTACTTGGGGGAGAAAAACTAACCAAACCTTCCATTCACCGGAACTTCTGATATCCTTTTATGGGGAAGAGGAAGTTTGTCCCATTGTTTCTCTTCTCCACTGCCTCTGCCCATGCCATACAGCCCATAGTGGCAGTACTGGAGCCTGTGGGGATATGGTTATTGTTGCATAAAAAAGCCTCCGCTTGAGCTTACTTGATTTTATACATGCATTTTCTGAAAATACACTAAACTGTAAGGTCTAAGATTTTAAAATGCAACTCACTATGATCTTTGTCAAACTTTGCAACTTTGCTTTATAAGTTCAGAAGCTCACTGTAAACTGCAACTTTGTAACTCTCAGCCACCTTGTTTATAGCTTGCTCTAAACTGAATTATCCTCTAAGAGAGAGAGAGAGTGTGTGCAGGGCCGTGCTTAGGCCGATTCGACTGATTTGGCCAAATCGAGCCCTGCGCCTAAGAGGGCCCTGCTCCCCAAACCCGGAAGTGTGCCGGGCCATGGGCGGCGAGTTACTATTCAGGGCCGGGGGCCCCGGACTCCCCCTGCTGGCCCCCCCAAGTGTCCTCCCACTCTGCCCCAGAGCATCCCCGTTGGCCCTGAACTGTCCCTGCCATGCGCGGCTCTCAGCATGGTTCCCCCTCGCTGGCTGCTGCTGCCATGCGCGGCATTGCAGGTGAGTGGAGAGGATGCCCAGGCATGATAT